TTCGAGCCATCGATTTAACACTTGGGAGACAATTGCATTAGCCACTAGACTACAAGATCTTATGGGGAATGGCCATGGTTATTTAATTACTGTATTTCTTTTGACGAAGTTTATAATGAAAATCGGTTATGGTAGGATTCGAACCATCGATTTACCGCATGGGAGACAATTGTCTTCTCCAATCGACTAAAAGTACTTGTGCTGAACGGCCATGTTCATTTAATTTACTTTATCCTTTTCACAGATTTATAATGAAACACGGTTATGGTAGGATTCGAGCAATCGATTTGCCACTTGGGAGACCATTTCAGTTTGACAACCTTCAATCCAGCTGTTTTTGTAGCATTCTAGTAAAATTTTGTATGTTCCTTCACAGGCAGCTAGTGATCTAGAATAAAAATAACCAATGATTCAATATTTTGTCCACCACCACCCAAGGTGTGTGTACATAGCTTTTACTAGTAAAAAACTCTAATATGTCTTTCCCTGAACAAGTAAAGGTGTCGGGTTTAAATAGAAAAAAACACTTACAATGATTTCACAACTTCTTCTTCTTCTCGTTCCCGTTTGCTTCTATCCGATTCGTTAAACAAGTTTTTAAAAAAATTCTCTAAAGCTGATAACGTGATGTTATAATTGAATCACCATCTTTTGGTGTATGGAAATGAATATTGTGTTTTCGTACTGCTTAATTCACGACCAATATGTCGGTTGGTCGGCAGCTCTATATATTTTTTATGATATTTCATCTAACGAGTTTCGTACATCTCGACCAATTAATATGGCATTTAAGAGTACTAATTGCACGGATTTGGATGGATTGGCTGCGGATGGCATAACCTTGAGTATTGTGGAGATATTGCTTTTCGATGTCGGGTCAACATACAACGAGTTGGTTTTGAATCTAAATACAAAGTCTCATTTGCGATTGCTAAAGAAACGAAACATGGATTTGTTAGTCTAGTCCTGTGTACGAAGCCTTCAAGCAGGATCTAACAATGTGTGTGGATGTTTCGCCTAATCCTGGTCCTCAATCTTTTGATAATAATCAGTCGGATGAGATGTATCAACATCGAAAGCAGTTACGTTTGATGAACACGTTTCGACCCGCTAATAATCCTGAGGAGCTTAGTTCGATGCTTGGGCAGTTGAATCTACAGAAAGGTTGGTTGTTCCATATGACCTATAGGAATATTTGCTATAATACCTACTTCGCAAACACCACCGCCACACTATACAATCACTATCATCTTGCAAATCATCAGGAAGCTATCCCTGTTAGAATCACGGACCGTGTCCCAAAGCCTGTAAATATATGGCAGAAATTATATTAAGAGAATCAATCTCATCAATATTCCTTTATCAGGCATTGCCAACACTCCTGATACAGCTGTTACTCAGCTTTGTTCTTTTGGTCTTCTCAACTGACGGTCTATTCGGAACAAAGCGAATTTAGTCAAAGACTATGTGGTTGAGAATGAATTTGATATATTTGCGATTACAGAAACCTGGCTTCACCCTGACAAATTTGATCATATATCTTTTGGGAATTTCACCCCGAAGGGCTACTCCTTTAACAATATCTCGAGACAACAAGGTAGAGGGGAGGCATTGGTATACTATACAACAACACTTTAAAAGTCAAGCTGGACTCGGCGAAAATGTTCTCACATATTAAGTCTTTCGAAGTGATGGGTATGCAAATCAATGTGTCATCTCAAATTCTAAATATAATCGTATTATATCGACCTCCATGTAGACGATAAGTCGGAATTAACAACAAAAAAAATTCTCAATCTTGTTGATTCTTTTAATCTGGAACAACGGTACAGCAACCAACACACTTTGCTGGTCACACGTTAGACCTTATCTTGTCTCGCCATGAGGAAAATATTGTTCAATCTATTGACGTTCATGATCCATCTATATCTGACCATTACACGGTTACATATGAACTCAATTTTAAAAAACCATTGTTTCAGAGAAGGGTCGTGGAGTCACGTAAAATTAAAGCAATCAATATGGACTCGTTCCTTAATGAAATTAGGCTATCTCCGATTAACACTGGGAACACGGCTGATATAAGTGCGAAAGTCAACCAATACAACTCGGAGCTGCCCAAAATTCTGGATCATCATGCACCACTTATTTCCAGAGAGATAATTATTCGTCCAGCTGCACCTTGGTACACTGAAAAATTAAAAACGAAAAACGTATCAGAAGGAAACTCGAGCGGGTATGGCGTAAGTCAAGACAATCCTGTGATCGTCTAAAATACAGTCAGCAATGTCGCCGTGTCAGTGAGCTATTATAGGAAAGTCGTACTCGTTATTATTCTGAAATTGTTAGAGATAATGGGAGTGACCAAAAGAAATTATTTAAAACCGTTGGAAAGTTACTACATTATACCCCTGATTCTCAATATCCTGTGTGCCAATCTGATGAGAATCTAGCTAACAATTTTATGACTTTCTTTGAGGACAAAATTAATAAAATATATGAAGATCTAACGGAATCCACTTAGCTAAATAAAATGTCGTTGTTTGCAGCTAAATGAAATGTCGTTGTTTGCAGTAATCCTCAGTTATTCTCCTGGTTTCTCATCGTTCCCAGTCTCTTCATCCTTACTGCGAAACTGGTTTGAAAATATTAAAGATTTGGTGGAGAAATACTTCAAGTGTGTGGTCTTCTTTTTCTTTATATTTTGTTATGTAAAAATGTAATATTTTGGTATGTTGATTTTTGTTTAAGTTCGTGATGTATTTCTATGTAGCCTCAGTCTTATCCTAATGGGAATTTTTTTTTAGATGTGAAGAGAGGACGGCCAACCGAATTAAAGCTCTAAATGTGCTTTGTAACATATTAGGAACGTTATCTCCACTATATGAGGTATAAAATTTTAGTACTTTGAATAAATTTTAGTCCATTTTTCTAGACATTAGCGATATTATGAATCTTTTCTAGTTTTATAACTCCTTGTTTTTTACAGGAAGAAATACTTGAGAATTCAGTGTTGCCACATTTAGACCACATTGTCAAAGATCGGGATATTTCTGTGCGGATCCGAGCTGTCCAGCTTCTGGTCGATGTTATTGAATCCTCTGATTCACCGAAAGTTTGCGATGTTTTGCATATAATCGAGAAGGTACTCAATACAATCATTTTCAGACGGTTTCATTTCTCCACTCCAATTTCCCTCTTCATTCGTGATGAGCTGATACTGTACTTCAATAGAAAACTCTTTCTTATCAGTGAAAGCTTCCTGACCTGAACCTAACTATATATCCGCAAATTGGATCGTTTACACGGGGGTCGTGAATGCAAACGCATCAGTGAAGTAAAAGGATATACATTTCATTTATCAATTCCAGATTGCCACTGTCCAGTTGATCCTCTCAAACGATACGTTAAGCCGTCATGTAAAGAACATGTAAGGTAATTATAGAGACTGCAAGGTATATGTAGGAACATCTAGAGACATAAAATTACATCTAATCACTGTAATTTGTCTTTGTTGCTGCAGCCTCAGGATGAAACAGCATAGAAAGACATCAAGGAGGCTGTATTAGGATTAGTACGCTTGTTCAAGGTAATGAAGGACATGCAGAGATTGTCCACACATATTCGTTCATTGTGATGAAGTTATTTTCGTGAACAAAAATAAGTGTAATTTAATGCCACACTTGCTTCTCTTTCAGTAATTCATTCTATTTTTGCAGATGAAATTGTTTCGTAAACCTCAAGAACGAGCCGAACGAATATTCAATATATTAGTGTACCACATAAAAACTCATTATGACAATGGCTATCGGACGTATAGTGCATCGGAAATACGGCTTTCGGTAAGGCAAATTCAATTCTATTTCTCGTTTGCGATTTTCTATGATGTCTCACATTGTGTTTTCTTAAAGATTCTTCAATGTTTCCTCAGTCTGCGAGCTGACAACGTCTAGGCCTTGTGCAAGACAAAAGTAGAAAAGTTTAATTCACTTCGTATTTTGTTTGTTCTGAAAGAAAATGTTGGTTAATGACGATAGTGCCACGTATGTCAGGTATTGCTTCCAAAATTCCTTTTCTTGTTTGCGTAATACATTCTCATTTTTGTTTTAGTTCTGCAGAAGATAAGACAAACGGGATTGTTTCACTGCCTTACAGCGAGGCGATGAATGTTATTCTTGTTGTTACAACAGGTAAACTTTTCTATCATAATATCATCTGGCATTAAGTTTCGATTGAAGTTCAACTTTCTTCATTTTCTAGGAATTGGAATGGGAGGTGTTGGATGTTCTTCTGAGGAACTTTCCAGAGGCACTGCAAGATAAAAACTTGATACTTTCTGGAAAGCAATATTTACGTTCAATATCTACAGTCTTCTCTAAAATGGGAAGGGAAGTGAAGTTGTGTACTTTTCACACCAAAATCATGAACTAAAAATTTTACTTTGCATTCAGGTTTCAAATTACGATTTTCTTCCTGGATTATTTCGTGTTCCTAACGATATGCGCCGACCTCATTTGTACGCTAGAATTTTTCCAGTACGGTTCTTATCAATCAGTTTTTGCATATATCATAATATCTTACCATAATATACCAAAACCATACCATACCATAAACATACCATATCATATAATCATATCATATAATCATATCATACCATAACTAACCATAACTAAATCATACCATACGATAACCATATCTTACCATAATAATATCACACCATACCATACCATAACGAAATCATACCATACCATACCATGCATACACATAATTATATCATACCATACTAATGATTTAATTGGATATTTTATTGTAACACGTGCAGGTATAACGGAGCTGTGTACGTACCACATATTTATTGGTCAAGAGAACAGGTAAGAATCTGCGTGACTTTATTTCAGCGGTTGTCTGTTCTTGCTTAAACGTTGTTGTATATTTCGTCTAGTGTTGTCTGATGCGTACTTGGTTGCTCATTTCGCGACGTTAAGCGTATCTTGTCTCACCGTATGTATGTTAGAAATGCCTTCAGTTATGGCAAGGTATGGCTACTTAAAATAGTCTGGAATTTGAGACGTTTTTTATTTCCATTAGCACTTTGTAAGAATGAAGTTGATTTAAGTAGTTGCAGCGTTTTAGAAGTTTATTTCTTTGGAGATATTGAAATCGTGCCTTGATAATGTGCTCAGTAATTTACAGAAACGTTTTCAATAAACTCCAGCCTAAACGTAACGTCTCTTGTGATGCGAGATACTCCTTCACAAATATATGATTTTTAAGTAATAATTACTAAATTTCTGTCCTTAGACTGCTCCCACAATATCTGGAAAAGCTTACTAAACTTTCGCCAACGTCTCAAGTTGCCATACCACTGCTAGAATTTCCCTCTGGTATGTTCTTGAAGTTACGTAATTATGAAATCTGTTACAAAATATCAATGTACCCCTAAAGAGAGCTAGGTTGTGTAAACACCAATCGTATTCGGCGAAAAGTTGGTAACATTCTTTAAATCGTTTAAATCGCATTGTAACAGCTTTGTGCTTTGTACAAAAACTTCACAGCGATCCAGTTGAAACAAGTCTTTGGAATATGTTGCCTTACACAGAATCATCGAAGTTGGCTCAACGCGATAACATCTAAACTTTTTATTATTGGTTTGTCAAAATGATTAAAATATAAACGAACTGATATGTTTCACCTTAGATACTCTCAATACACTGTAGCTCTTGCTGATAAGTCATTCCATCCTGGTTTGTCAACTGTCCGCTATTGTTAAGAAAACAATTCGTGCCATTTATTACGAAAGTAAGTCCACATGTCATTCTATTGCCACGGGGATTGCTTGCTGAATTTTCAATAGATATATTTGCAAGAGCGACCAAGTTTAATATCTTCTAGTGAAAGCTTAGGCGTTGTTTGGCTTCTTCAACTGATAGAAAACTCGTGCAGATGATTCTAGCCAGGTGTCAAACA